CATTGGGGACCTCAACAACCCACCTCCACTGGCCTACAACTTCCCAACCTTGAGAGGTTGACGGGTATTTTGGTAGGGGAGGGACCTTGGTAAGGTCGTAAGGTCCCTAACTTCTCAAGTTGCAAGTACCTAGGTCCTAGCTCCGTTAGCCGAATCCCCAGAAAGTGCCTAGGCACTTGCCCAGATAGGAAATAGTACATCTGACCTGCCGCTTATCGATAACGAACCGTCCGGAGATACGACGCGGGGGTCGCGCGCGCATTTTGTCGCTGGAGGGGAGAGAAAAGGAGGGGGGTAACTTGAGGTAAGGTACTAATAAATTGTGAGGTATCACTTGCCTGGCAGCTTTATCGGCCCAGGGTCCCAGTCACGTTCAACTGAAAATCGTCGAGTGCGTTCCACAATCCCAAAGCCCTCGACAAACACTCTTCTCTGTCCTCCACCGAGCTTCTTTCCCCCCCTCCTTCAACTCCGAAGCGAACTGACGCCCAGCGCAAGGCGAACCCTGCGCCGACACCAGCCCAGCACCGAACAACCGCACAACCGTCCGACGCAACCTCCCCAGCCCGTCCTCCGTGCTCCTCGCGAACGGCTACGAACATAGCTCTTGGACCCTCCCCAAGTTCATAACTTGCGCCGTCCCAAGCCACCCGACCTCTTTCCTTCCGTCTGGTCCTCCGCGCGCCGGACGACCACGCACACTTCCAAATAAAGACCGAGCATGTGCCCCGCGCCTGATCATGGAGGCTCTGCCATAGATGATTCCCGACCCGAAGACAACGACAACACCCTCAACAACACCATCGACAGCGAACACAACCCCTCCGAGCCTGCAGTCTTGGCCGGCGCCGATATCCGCACCAGAGCCCGGACAATGACGAGCACCGAGGAAATCGACAACACCATAATCCGGCCGGGCTCCGTCCGCATCAATGTCAAGGGCGCGTTTATCGTCGATCCGGACTCGAGTTCTCCGAGGAGCAATGGCCGAGGTTCCCCGACCCACCACGAGACGAGCGATATTCGACTGCCCAACCACCATGCCGTCGTTAGCCACATCGCCGTTGACGTATGCGACTGCTCCCTCCCGCCCGTACTTGCTCCTCCTTCTTGTCTAGTTGCTAATCCCCTCATTTGCGCAGATTGGCGGCTCCTTGATCAAGCTCGTCTACTTTACGCGCGAGGCGCACTCCACTGAGCCCGGCGGTCGTCTCAACTTTCTCAACTTCGAGACCGATCGCATCGACGACTGCATTGAGTTCATGCGCCACCTTAAGGACAAGCAGCAGACCCTCAATGGCTCTCAACCGAACGAATTGAGTGTTATGGCGACGGGAGGCGGCGCCTTCAAGTTCTACGACAAGATGCGGGATGTCCTGGGCGTAGACGTGTTGCGCGAGGAAGAGATGGAGTGTTTGATAATTGGTGAGTTTTCGCAAATCCCTCGGCGCATGCTTGATGGTTACTAATCAACTTACCTCCAAGGCCTCGACTTCTTCATTACCGAGATACCCCGTGAAGTCTTCACTTACAGCGAAACCGACCCCATGCACTTTGTTTCACCTTCAGAAAACATTTATCCCTACCTCCTCGTCAACATAGGTTCCGGCGTCTCGATGCTAAAGGTCTCAGGGCCGCGCCAATACCAACGTGTCGGCGGAACCTCGCTCGGCGGTGGTACGCTTTGGGGCCTGCTCTCCCTTCTGACAGGCGCTCGCACTTTTGACGAGATGCTCGACTTGTCAGAGCGAGGGGATAATGCCAAAGTCGACATGCTCGTCGGCGACATTTACGGGGGAGATTACGGCAAGATTGGCCTCAAAAGCACCACAATTGCATCATCGTTTGGCAAGGTTTTCCGCATGAAGCGCACAGCCGAGAACGAAGCAGAAGACCACGGTGGACTGCACAATGGCGATAACAAGAACACATCTCCGCCACCGGAAGGCTCGCCTGAAGATGGCCCTCACGAAGCCGCGGAGCACTCCTCAGAAGAGCCCTTCTCTGGAGCAGATGTCTCGCGTTCGCTGCTGTATGCGATATCCAACAACATTGGCCAGATCGCCTTCCTCCAATCGCAAATCCATAACCTGGACCACATCTACTTTGGGGGGTCTTTCATTCGCGGACACAGACAAACAATCAACACCCTCAGCTACGCCATCAAGTTTTGGTCTCAAGGCAAGAAGCAGGCCTACTTTCTCCGTCACGAGGGCTACCTGGGCTCCGTCGGTGCCTTCCTCAAGCGCCAGCCTCGCAACTGGGGCCGTCGTGGTTCTCTCGAGCAAGCTGAACCCATGGAGAAGCGCATCCAGAATCGCAGGATACACGACGTTGAGATGCAAAGCCTCGTTGACGACTACGCTTCTGACTCTGGACGCGAATCAGGACGCGACTAGTTGAACAAGAAAAGAAAAACAAGCAAACAACATTACATTCATAAAAAGGAGCGAAGGTAGACGTGGTTGGTACTTCAAGTTTTTGGGCGTTGTGCGGGCAGGCGGCGCGGTATATTCTGGCATTTACGACGCTTGATGGCAGCGCATTTGCGAAGTGGGGAAGGCGAGATTTAAAGATTTCACGCCAGCTCGGTGACCACTTAATCGGCACATACCATTATATTTTACTACATACTTACCAGTTTAATGTTATCAGTCATAGCTCGGCTGGCCTGTCGAGACAGATCGGCCCTGGATTGTCAGCAAACATTACAAACATTTAAAATTTAAAGCAAAGGATTACCTTCCTCGCCCTCCTTCGAGTGAGAGGTGACAAGCAAGCAGCGAGGGTTTCTCTGGGCTTTTCCACTGATCTTGGCGGCTCCATGCAACCGGAGGCAGTGTTCCAATTCATGTCTGTGGATCTATCCAGTCACCTGGGTCGGTGGTATGTTATCTCGAGTCACACCAGTTTTTTTATTTACGATATGGGCGACCTTACACTCGCCATCTTAAGGTTCTCCGACATTGCCATGTCATCATTTGACCAACGCTTGCTGCAATAAGTCTCCTGATTGATCGACATACCCAGGTCTGTTCGATTTTCCTCTAAAGTTGTGGTTGTCGTCACACCAGATACGTCAAGCCATCCCGAGTCCCACACATCATACCTATACTTCATATCCGTCATCCGGCCCTCCGCACCGCCGTATCACCTTTGAACATATGGGCCCCGGACGAAGCGGGCAATCACATGTACCCCGGACTAAACGGATGCGGCCCACAAATTCTCGGCACCTCGGAGGGAGAGACGTGGCCGGGGGGCGCATTGAAACGTATATGGCCGTGGAAGACTCGGGAATCGTCCCCGGTAACTTTAAACGTTATGCGTATTTTTTTTTCTCTGGATCGGAAGGCTAACCCTACTGTACGCTCCACTGCTCATCGTCACTTCTGGAAACCGCTAGTGAGGCTTTCTTTACAGGTGATTACTTGACTAAGTATAGGTCAGGGGGCTATAAAGACGGACTATGACCTGATCTGCGTTGCTCGGGTTTGGGATTGGATGGTTTACTGTCATGGGGTGTAGGTGATTGCTGGCGTAATGGGTCATGATGTGAAAGTTAGTGAGAATAAGACTTATTTCTCTACTCAGGGGTCACAATGTAAAGTAGCAAGAGAGTGTAGAATACCACTTCACAGCCATGGGATGCTAACACAACCATCACGGCCAAGACTTCATCGGCGCCATCCAGATCCCATAATCATCAGCTCGGCAATAAACAAAGCCCGGCACCATTACAGTTCTTCAGAGTTCGCAAAAACGTCACCGCTCCGCCACCGCAAGCCTCACGACGTAGTCGTTCGCAACGGGGTCCGGTCTAGAAGCCGCATCGCATCGACGGAGAAAACTCATCTGAACGGTATCCGCCTTCTCTCCTCAACGTCACCTAACCCAGGATAAATAGGCCACATAACTCCGGGAATTCCCACTTTCAGCTGTTCGCACGAGAAGGCTGTCCCGAGGCAGTGGTTTGTGTGGTTCTCCACCATGACCAAAGGAAGTAAAGCCCAACGATTTTTGGATTCTGGAGCCTGCTTGAGTTCCTCCAGTCGGCCGTTTTTTTCTCGTTTTCGTCTCAAGTATAACTCAACTTGGTACTGCGCGACGTCACAGACCGACCCGCAGTAAGAAAGATATGCCGAGGTGCCAGCCGCAAGTTGTGTCGTCTGATGTTTTCCTGCCTTTGCATGAATAGCCGTAGGGAATCGGGAGGCTATGCACGGACTGCCGGACAGCGCCTGTGTGGATTTACACCCAACAAACTTCCCTCTAGTTGCCTAATACGGAAGCCGATCGCGAGAAGGCATTTGCTTACTACTACGTAGGAGGGGGGAACCGCAGGTCATTGATCCGGACCCTGCGGAGTCGGAGGCACGCAAATCGGGAGACCTTCCAGGGGAAGACCCCGGACGACCGCAGCTGGACCCGAATACGGGGAACTGAAGGCAATCGGCCGGTCCCCACTACGATCTTGAAGCTTTGAAGTGAGTGAGAAGAAGAGGGACAAGGTGGTCGTGGCATTACATCATTGCGGTTGTCATTGCTGTCAGACACCCCTGTCTCCCGTGAAGTGACGTCCGGCACACACACAGTCGGCTGAGCCCTGCGATGGTCTCTGGGCATGGACTATGCATCCTGTTGACTCAGGGTTGCGAGTCCAGCGGTCTCCTAGACTGGAGTCGATCGCGGTAACGTCTGTAAAGGATGTTGGGCCATGGTGTGGTTTGCAAAAATGTATATAGCTGGGTGAAATTCCCACTCCATCTACTGTCTCGTACTCCTCATCATCACACAAGCAAACAACAATCAAGCAAACCCATCTTCAAACAACATCTTTAAGAATCAAATCATCCACCAAATTGTCAATCACAAGCAGTCTATAAACTATCAACTACTACTACACCTACTCGAGAAGAAGTTACTCAAGCAGAACCTGCTACTCAATTCATATTCAAGAATACTACAAAACCAAAACACTACCACTCTCAACAATCATCATGCAATTCTCCTCCGTCTTCGCCATCTTCGCCGCCACCATGGTTGCTGCCGCACCTACTTCTCCCATCGACTCAACTCTTGAGGCTAGAAAGGACCCCGGTGCCATCGCTGCTTGTGAGACGCAGACAGCAGCCGACCAGGTTGCCTGCATCGACAAGTGCAATAAGGACGCCGCGTGCATTACTGCTTGGTAAGTTGGAATCAGGAGGTGCAGCATTGATGAGGAATATCACTAACATGGGAATAGCTCGCTGGATGCAGCCCAAAAGTACACTGCTTGCGCTACGAAATAGAACCAGAACAAGATCAGCGGTTGGATAAGTGTACGATAGGGGTGGATGAGTGATACGAGCATTAGAGATTGCATAGCGAGCGAGTGAGTTGTAAGATTAGCGTGAGATGTGGATTGGCCATGTAGACAGAGTGTTCTAGCGTCAATGAATTATCAGATTCCATCTTAAACAGTTTTCCTAGCAAAATTCACTCTGCACGAGGCCGTCTTACAAGTTGGGTGTGTTACGGAGGGTATGACATCTCCTGTGATTCTTCTACCCTCTGCGACGTCGGTTAATCGCATTAAGCGCTGTTTGAAAGATTTGATCTTTTGATAGGCAGAAAAAGACAGACACAAGTGAGACCAACAAATGTATGGCAACACTGCCGGCGCACGCTGACAAAATGCAACATCTCTTCCGCCAGAAACTGCACCAGAGCCATATTTCATGGCTGAAGCGCGCAACAAATCCAAGCCATCTTTCCAGCCGCCGAGCTCTGATGACTCGGCATGGAGCCACAGTGGATACACAACCCCCCTTCCCTGAGACACCAATCCCGCCGGCTTGAGCTGGCTTGTAAAAGCCTACCCGGGCGTCACGACATCATCAGATGGCTTGGTGTCGACTGAACTCATCATGAACAGCACAACATAATTTACGATCAAGTGTTTAACGAGACGCCAAATTTCAGAAGAAGAATCACTGGTCGACTTATACTCTCCGAGAGCTCCGGCGCCGAGTTTCCGAGAGGGTCCACCCCCATCCGCCGGTACCAACTACCGGATGTCCTCGTTTTCGCTGTTGAGTCGATTCAGCTTGGAGTCAAGGCGGGGCCTCGGCAGCCTTTTGGGTTGATTACACTGGAAACGGCCAGCAAAATCAAAGGCTTACGACAAGAAGACACGAATCGCTTCGCAACATCGCGCACGACGCTTTATCAAGCACAGTCCAAAATGACTCTCTATTTGCCTGATGGAAGTATCCGGAACGATGGTAAAAGGTCGAGAATATTTACCTTTGGCGGGTGGTCTTGTTGGACGGCCTGGAGGGGGTTTGACTCCGAGGCATGTGCAAAGTCGTCTCCCAGGCCGGGACCGAGGCACCGCAAAAGTGGGGCCACTGCCGTACTTCTCGGGCCGGTGCTGACGAACGAACGGCGAATGAATGTCGTAGCACCAATGATTTCAGCTTTGCAGAAGGAAGAGCTAGGTTTTTACTGTGATACCGTACATCGGCTCTTCAAGGCTCAGAATAAGGCAAATCGCCGACTTCTGATCCTCCACAGCGGCTTCTCCACTGTCTCATTCATCGCACCTGATCTCGTGGCTTAAATAGTCTAATGTCTATTCATCTTTCATGCAAACCAGTAGCAGTTTCATGGGTGAAATAAAACATGGGTGAACTGTGATGGCTCTCAAGTGATTGGCCAAAGTAAGAACCTCGGCGATCCTAATCTGTAGAATGGAATTGGAGGCCTTGAGCCCAGAAAAGACGTTTCTGGCCATCAAGTCGATAGTTTTGGATGAAATGATCGACTGGAGTAAGAAAACTCCCTCAAACTCTAGAAAATGGTTGACCATTGGAACACCGCCTTCATCAAAACGATTAGGAAAGCGTTCCCGACTCCTTAACTGGTGCTCTCTCTGAAGCACAAGTCTCCAAAATGGGTGGATGTCTGGCCATGATTAGATCGCTTACCTCAGTCGGTGGCCAAACAGCGTTTTTTTTTTCTTTTTCAGAAAACATTTCCTCTCGATGTCGCTCTCAACTTCACCTCGCTACAACGGTGCGAACTCCAGACAGCTGCCCCAGGTGACTACTCCTGGTAACATGCAGTTGTTGTTCGATATGATAGAGTGTCCGACTCTGGCGATTCCGCTATGCCACTCTCGACTTGTTTTAATCATGGAGAAATCATCCCGTCGTAGATATCGATTGAAAGGCTGGCAAGTTCATCGCCAACAAGCCTGCCAAGGCAACTCAAGCTGCAGGCAAGGATGTCGCGAAGTCGAATTAGATAGCTCGAACCAGCCATTTCCACCGTACTTCGTCCTATGTCCGAATGCAACTTACGTGAGTGTAGGCCATCTTTCAACAAATTGTGTCATACACTCACTGATTGGGCTGGGCTCTCTAAGGGTGGGGGGCATATTCAACTCCCCAGACCCCGAACCGACCCTCAAGCACAGCCAAGAACTCTTCCACAGGAATCATCCACCTTTTTCCAATCCCCAAACGGAGTTCATGATAACCAGAGACATGGCATTTCAGAATCGCCCCCGCAAATCGTCAACTCCTCAGCAGTCTATTGGAGACATACAAATTTGCAACGATGTGGCGCCAGTATATATCTCATCCCTGAAACAGACCCAACTTCAAGCTATTCAAGAAATGGCAATACCTAGAAAATAACCCTCTTCAAACGGACAGGCGATACGGTCAATCAAGTACATCGAAACCTCAAAGATGGATGACCGTGGTTCGGTCTTTGTGAAAAGGGGGAGAAAGGGGTCCATGCTCTCCAGCGAGCCCATGAACATTCAACCAACGGGCTAATGTACAACATGACTCTGGGTATACGTACTTGAGCTGGCTTTCATCAAGTTGAGTGAGCATCAACTCAACACGGAGAGCTATGCGAAAATGAAGATGGGGTTTCCCCCTCCCCCTATGTAAGTACCTTACGCTATGATAGTTATGGGATAAAGGGGATTCGATCGCATTACAACGGCTCATTTCCGGGGTCGTCTCAACTACAACGTCACATGACTCATCCCGACTTCTACGGTCAGTGGGTGCGCGCTTACTCACAACAATAAGCACGATCAAGCTGGGACTTAATAGAACTATTACAAACTCGTCACTTGAATACTGATTCAGAGGATGGAACACATCACGATGCAAACGGGAACCAAAAAGTCATTGTAGAGCGCATTTGTATTCCTCTCGAAAGGAACTAGCTAATTAAGTATTAATCCAACAAGCCAAGGGGTATAAAAAAAATCTTCCAACACCCTTTTTTTCTGATGCGCTCTAAAAGTTCGCGGCCAAGTTGAGATAAATGTGGGAATATAGAGCCTTTTTAACACCGAATGTTTCCAGACCTATAAAAAACCACCTATGCAATGTGTTTGTTTCGTAAGGATCGTAAGAATGATATGTAAAATTGCGGGCTTGTAGATTACAGATTTGTGTGCGTGCAGCGACTTGATACAGTAAGGAAATTTTTGAGGGGTAGCATTTCTCCTCCGCGCTCAAGTAAGTTTCATCTTAGCAGAGGGGTTGGGAGAAAGCAGCCATGTTACCCAGCTTAGAATGCAGCGAGGGCAGCAATGGCAATGACGGCACCGAGGCCGAAGGTGGTCTTGCCAGCACCAGCGACAACGACGCCAGTGGTGGTAGGGACGGCAGCACCGCCAGTGCCGACGGGAGTGGTCTTGCTGGCGCCGGCGGCGGGGGTGGTAGGGTAGGGAGCAACCGGGGCCTGGGAAGAGGCAGTCGCGCCGGGGGCAATGGGAGTTCCGGCCGGGGCAGAGGGAGCTGGGACGGGAACGACGACCGAGGCGGAGTTGGTGGCGAAGGAGACGTGGGGAACCTCGAGGGTGGTCTTGATAATGGCGGTGGTAGAGGAGCCGGGAACGGTGGTGCCGGAGGTGACGCAGGGAACGACGATGGTCTTGTCAACGGTCACGGTGGTGTACTCAGCAGGGTTGGTGGCAGCGGGCTTGGTGGCCGAGACGGTGATGGCGGTGGTGATGGTGGCAGGGACAGTGACGATGGCAGGGTTCTCAGGGATGTGAGCAGCGCAGATGCCCTGGAAGAACTGGGTAGCCTTGGAGATGATCTCGTCGCTGGCTCCGTAGGAGTAGATGCAAGAGAAGACGTTCTCGACGAACTTGGAGTCGGGGCAGAAGCAGTTGACATCAGAGTTGTCAGTGCAGCCGGAAGAGAACATCCAGGTGCTCAAGCACTGGGGAACGACATCGGGGCAGGGAAGAGTCTCAACAGGGCCGGCGGGAACGGTGACGGAGGCAACGGGCTTCTGGGAGGAGACACCCTGGGAAGGAACACCAGCGGGCTGGGTGGCAGCGGGCTTGGAGGGAACACCGGGGGTGTGGACAAAGGTCTCGGTGACGGGGCAGATGGTGGTAGAGACGGGGACGGTGACGGTGACAACGGCGTGGGACTTGGCGGGGCAGTTGGTGACCTCGGGAGCGCAGGAGGTGACGGTCTCGACGCGGGTGGTGTAGACGGTAGAGGTGGTGTCGTAGACAGTGGTCTTGGTCTCAGGGACAGCGGGGACGGTCGCGGGGACGGTCTCAGCGGGCTGGGTGCCGTTGACGGGAACGGTGGGAACGGAGGCGCTGGGGAGGGCAGCAGAGGTGGTCTCACCGCCGACGGGCTTGGTGACAGACTCAACGGGGACAGACTCGACAGGCTTGGTGGTCTCCTCAGTGGGCTTGGAGACGATGGGGGTCTCGGCAGGCTTGGTGACGGAAGGAACAACGGCAGTGGTCGAATCCGCGGGGATGGAGATGGAGGGGAGGGCAGCGGAGGTGGTCTCGCCCTTGCTGGGAACGGGAGCAGTCTCGGTCTCCTTGGAGGGGCCGGTGGTGGCAGGCTTGGTGGCCTCGGTGGTCTCCTCAACGGGCTTGGTGGGCTTGGAGACGGAGGGGACAACGGCGGTGGAGGTGGCCTCAGCCTCGGAGGTGGTCTTGACGGGCTTGTCGTGGGTCTTGGTGCTCAGGGTGGTGGCGATGGCGAAAGAGCTGGTCTTGGTCTTGGGAGGGACGGTGGTCTGGGGAGGGCTGCAGTCGAAGCTGATGGTGTGAATGCCAACACCGCAGGTGGTCTTGGGCTTGGAGGGCTGCTCAGGGTAGACAATGGTGACGTTCTTGGCACCACCGCACTGGGAGTTCTTGACAGTGGTTCCAGACTTGGAGCAAGCCGAGCGGTGCTTGCAGCTGGAGCCATCGGGCATGTCATAGTGGAACTCGAGGTCGCAGTCGAACTCGACGGAGACGTCAAAGTGGACAATGGAGAACTTGTCGGGGGAGCTGGTGCCGGAGCCACAGCCGAAGGAGGGAGAGGTCTCCTTCTTGCTTCCGCAAGAGCCCTCAATGACCTTGCCCTTGCCGAAGGTGCGGGGAGCGAGAAGATCGCGCTTGGAGAAATCGCTTCCGCAGGTCCAGCCCTTGAAGTCGAAACCGCCGTAGTTGCTGAACGATCCAGTGTTCAAGTCACCCCAGGAGAAACCATCCTTCTGCTTGTCGTCACACTTGTTGTCGGTGTTCTCGGGGCAGGTGAAGGAAGGGAACTTGTTCCAGCCCTGTAAAGCTTGTTAGTGATCACCGACTAGAGAAAAGTAGGCGAGATCTCATGATGAGATCTGGCTGTGGAGTTGTTGTTTGAGAACTTACGGTAGCAGTGACCTGGCTGACGCCGGCGGCAAGGGCCAGAAGAGCAACGCTGTTCTTCATTTTGAATGATGGACGAGGATTCTTTCTTGAGTGAGAGTGAGATACTTTGTTCTAGTGAAAGTAGAGGAAACAAAAAACTAAGTTGGTATTAAGTTGAGAGTAAAGAAGCGAATGACTTTACACTCAGAAAGCGAATGGACTGTTGTTTGATAGAACGAAAGTAGGAAAGAATGTTCGATGAGGATGAGAATCGAAACAGTAAACATGGGCGGGAAGAGGAAGAGTCTATATACAAGAACGACGACTCCTAACACTGGGGATGGTTGGGTGTGAGGTTCCTAGTCCTCACCCTCACCCTCACCCTCTCTCTCACTCACACACCTGAGGAGGCGACTTGCCTGGAGGGGGGTGGGAGACAGACAGACAGACAGACAGACAGACAGACAGACAGACAGAGTGACTACTGACTGAGTGAGCAGACTGAGAGAGAGGACCGAACGGGGATGAGGGACGGAGACGGGGTGGATCCAGGCAGGAGGTGCAAGTGCAAGGCCGTGCTGCACGGACTAGGTACAGCGGACCCGTGGCATGGCCATGGATGTGGACAGCACTTGCACTAGGCATGGGGGCCTGTGGACTGGCTGATGGATGGCCGTGGTGCGGTGGTGGGCGCAGATGTGGATATGGGATGGGTGGATGGAGGCTAAAGGAGGAGAGGTCACCGGAGGGCATGGCAGGCAAGGCAAAGCGAAGCCGGGTTTGATGCCGGCCTCTTGGAAGGCCATGCTATCCGCCAACAGGGGTTGGTTCTCCAACAAGACCGCTGGATGGTGCTTCGACTGAAGACTGGGCTGGGAGACGGGGGATTACAGGAGGGGGCCAGAAACAGCACTGCCTTCTTCCCATCCGGCACCTGGGCGGTTGAACGGTTTCTATTCGAGCGACTTGTTGCTTGGATCGGAGCCAGGAACAGACGGAGAAGGGTGCATTTGGGCACTGCAGCCCCTGGACAACCCCTTTGATCCTTGAGCATGAGGACGGGACTCACTGGAGCCCGATGGTTCTCTCTCTTTGTGTGTGTGTGTGTGTGTGTTCTCTCTCTCTATTCCAATGGTTGTTCGAACAGTGGTTTCCTTGCTCAGGTCCCGGAGGCCCTCCATAGACTACATGGAGCTTACGGCACATGGTTGACGAATTGGAAGTGATGGATGTTGAGATTGAGTGTGCTCAGCCTTCCGGAACAAAGGCAATGCTCATGCTCGCAGACCAGGCTGAGTTTCATGCTCATGCATAACCGTGTGATGGTGCTTAATTGGAGAGATCCGCAGTTGCTTTGGCGGTGCCATAGGGTTTAGTCAGATTAGGGGGAAGATGGGGATGTGTGTTTTGTGAACAATGACGATATGCTACGGCCGAGGACGAGATAGAGAAGTGTTCATGAATAGCAACACGGACGCCATGTGGAGATGGCGGTTGATGCAGGACCGAGACTAAAGAGCACCGCCTGTTATGCTCGAGATGAAGGTGTCGACGATCCGTCAAAGCCATGGGCGGACGGAAAAGACGGGAAGCGAATGCAAGACAAGCCAGACAGCATCGGTGGGCTGGGCTTGATGAGGGTGAGATGTTGAGTCGAGTCTGTGAGTTGCGGATTGAGATGAGATGAGGTCGGTGCGTACGCATTGGTGCCGCCGTCTGCAACTTTCGGATGGTTTGGAGGGAGCGAGGTGCAGCAGGTAGTCTGTCTGTCTTGTCTTAGACATGACGGTAGACCGAGTCCTGACTGACTGACTGGCTGCTTCGTGGTTCGTGGATAGTGGTGAAGGATGCAAACTGCAAAGTTGCCATCTGCCAGTTCTGCGCTTTGTTTTGCCGCCGCCGTGACGCTCGGGCGGTAAGGAAGTGAGTAAGTAAGGTAAGGTAATCAGGTACGGAGTACGTACCCTTGGTGACCTTCCCCCCTTGCCATCCAATGCTGTCCCGTTCAGGAACAGGAAAGAGCAGGGACAGGGGCTGCCTACCCAAAGAGACCCCGTCGCCGACGACGTGAGAAGGCCCAAGCTGCGAGCTGCCTCCTTCTCCAAGCCCCCTGCAGTCTGCACTCTGCAGACTGTCGACTGCAAGAAAGACAGATGCACCTTTGGAGTCTTCATTCTGTGGGAAGGTAGAGAGTCTGGAGTGCAGTTCTAGGCTGGCCGTTTGCGCTACTCTTCCCCAGAGGCTTGCTTGCTTTTTTCTCGCTGGGCTTGGTCTGAAATCTAGGCTTGACGCCACAGGGAATCTGAATCTCCTCCAGCAGAAGAGAGTACCTAGATACGCCTTTATTGGATCTTTTGAGGGGACAACGGGCGCCTACCCCGATCTAAGTGACCCCGTGGCTTGCCATCTGCGACTCGCTGTAACTGTAAATTATCCCGTATTGGGTATGGCTCATTGTTAGCCAGTCTATTTGGTAATCGCTCTGCAACTTCACACACTTTTTGGTTGTCAGTTGCGACTCTGCACACAGAACACTGCAACACCAAGGGTGCACCAATTCTTTCCCCCTCGGTGGGTGGCTTTTACTTTACTTTACTTTACCTTAGTCAGGGGCAGAAAGAAAGACCTCGGGTGCCCGCCCCGCTATCCATCCATCCATCCATCCAAAGACCCCACTACACAGTAAAGTACTTTACGTCTAGCCAATCGTGGATTATTACGGACTGGAGTCTCTGGGGTTGAACTAAGGCGAATCTGGGCGTCTCAAACGGACTCGCCGCCGCCTTTCGCCCTCCAATAAACGGCGTGGATGGGATGTCCCAGGATGCCTCGATACGCTGGCCTCCGCGCCTAACGTCAGCCCATCCAGCGATTTGGGGCTCTTTTGAAGATCAACACGGCGGCAAGCCAGGTATGGAGGCACTGGATGATGCACGTAATCATTACCCGTGTGTATTTTCGGCCTAGCAAAAGGTCACCAAAAGTTAATTCGAAAGGTTGATGCTGTTAACCGTGTTCCAGCCTGCATCCGCATCCGCATCCATCTCAGCCTCACTCTATCTCATTATGGACCGTCTCTGCAGACAGATGCCGACAGTTAGAGACGGGGGAGACTGCCAACATTCGTTATCAAATTTTCAATCAGCAAGATTAATTCTTGGTCCATCCTACGGTCCTACCCTAGCCCTCCAGATAGATGGAAGTCGACAATACGCGGACCACTCTGCGTACCCGTGTATAGACACCTGGGCCCATTGGTGTACCTCCCGTCGGTACTCTCACCTGAAGGACGGAAGCATTGGACGAAAGAAGCTCATGGCGGTGGAAAGGGGCCAGCCAATGACAGCTGCCAGATCATCTGAAGTCGCCCTTCCCAAAGAGGCAACAGACAATTTGTTCGCACCTACGCATCCGTACCGGTATGCGTATCTTACCTGAACTCAAGCCTCAAGAAGTAAAGACACTTACGGCGGTACTTACTCGACGAATCGAATCAACTCAACTTCCTAGGTAGTTCCCTGCCGCCCATGACCTATCTTGTCCTGTCATGCTCCGAACAACGGCTCCTTTGAGAGCCAGAATGTTACCTTGGGCTGCTTTCTGCTTGTCAGTTGACAGTGACACTCATTGCTTTGCATCCCGACTCCTTGCCGCCTGTCTGTTCCCTTGAACTGTTCCTAGCCTCTCAAGTCTTCTGCATCCTCTCCATTGGTGACTTCTCCCACCAAGCGAGGGGCCCCTTGCCCAGTCCAAGTTGAAACGCTCAGCCACAGCGCCAGCTTCTCCGTTGCGCTAATGCAGGAACAGTACCTCGGAGCCAATCAATGACCAGCGGAAAGGAAACCTCTTGGGAAAGGGCAACCCACGACGTTACCTTGAATCCCTGCCATCCTCCCCTCCCCCCCTGCCTCTTGCCTTACCTTGCCTTGCCTTGCCAAAAGGAGGGGATTCTTCCTCTCCCCTGCTCCTCCCTCTAGCCCCTGCTCGCCCGGGGTCATCCACTCCACAACTTTTCACTTCCACTTCGTGCCCCTGGCGCCTTGTTCACGGCGTGGTCCTTCCGCCTCTCCTTTCCCCCTGGTTCACCACTTCAACATCCATTCACCTCGAGGCCCGACTCCATCCACCCCAACTCTGCAAGGAAAAAGCATCAATCCACATCCAGATGGTCATACACTTGCATCCAAAGTCCACCTCGATCGCAATCCTTCTCCATCTTGCTACCCTGGACCCCTTGCTCCCGAAGAAAAAAGTCTGTCAGCAAGGGCACGCCGGATTCCCGTGAGGCTATGCCCTTCAGAGAAGAGCAGCAACACCTGGGATCCTGGGTGTCCCAAATCCTCGAAGCACGCTTTACCCGATCATGACGCGACCTGTCGGCCCTGTTGCCCAAATCCATCGGCACTGATTCTCATCCTAGTCGACGATGCTCAGACCTTCTGGCCAGAAGCTCCACGATAGCTCTGAGTATTGTTCGCTTCCGTTTGATTCACCTCTCTCCCTCGCTTTTGCTCCCTGCGCTGCCATGCCGCCTACCCTCTTCCGAGAAAAATAGGCTCGCTTCAAATCGTTCGATCTAGGACCCAGTCTAGTTGCCACGCCTGTCAAGCGATATTATATCGTGTTGGGTATATTCAATTCCAACGTACAAAGTATTGCCAAGATATCGCGGCTCGGCCAACCGGTCCAGATGAACCAAAACGAACGGCCCGCAACTAGTTATCGGAAATGTTTACTCATCCCTCTAAACCTCTATTTGCTTCCGAAAATGGTCTGCTCGCCAGCTTCATTCTGGCTCAGCGTACGGATCTCTGTACTGGTTATCGCCGCGAGCCTCGTAGACCTGCGAAGGGCCCCTCCTCGCTGTGCGGCTGTCTAACCTCGGTTCAACTGCAAAATCACACGTCAATAGACGTCAACAATGCTTGGCCTTCGAACGCTCCAGAATAACAGGCCAAAGAGTCATCCATAGTGTCTTGGCCTGATTGCCATCTCAAGAGCTCGTTCCGAGGAAACGGTTTGTTTCACCAAGTCAGCCACCCGAAGCCAACCAATCCGAATGTGGGCTATCAGTCTACCTC